CCAGGATCCTTACTGTATTGTGCCAGTTGCACCGTTACTGCCAGCTGTCCTGTCTTGGGTGCAGGCATCATTCAGCACACAGGTGTGTGTTGATCTGTGTGAGCTGCAGAGCTGCCCATTGAGCTGAGCCTGCCTGACCACAGGATGGGTGGCTCTGACTCACTAAGACTGGAGCAGGGCAGGCTTGTACATGGAGCTCCACTTGGCTCCAATAGCTGGCCATTTCCTGTGCTCTCTGGAACCGCAGTGTTCTGTGGAATAGCTCAACTGTCCCCACATTTCCTGGTGATGTGTTATATGTACGTTTCACCAGGGTTCAACAGTTCTTGTGTTTTTTATGCCTCGTCTTTAAAAAAATTGCACACTTGTGGATTAAAGGCCCTTCTCTCAAGAGATATTTACAGAATTGGCCCTGGGTGTTTACAGTGTTGCAAACCCACCTTGTTGTGGGGCATTCAGCTCAGTAGAGGCCCAGGCACTAAGGCCCATACAAACCCATATGGACACTTGGACATGCTCCTCAGGCCAAAGCCTGTGGCAGTCTTAAATGCCCCTCTGTGAGCTGCTGAATGCTTGTGTGTGGTTTGCGCCTTCCGAAAGTTTTCACCACTGACCTCAGCTTTCCGTTCCAGCATCCAGACTGATGGGCTGCAATACACACCGAGAGCTACCCACAGGAGGCCAGGAAGGCGAGCAGCTGCAGCTGCAGAAGACCTGGCCACTGCTCTCTGAGGGGGAAGCCCAGGAGCTGACACAGGTAGAGGTCCCCACTGCCTCAGTGGGCCAGTTCAGCATCTCTGTCCTCACTACCTGTGCCTCGTCCCGCTTGCCTGAAGACAGGCCCTTGTTGGATTATGTATGCCTTTCACTAAAACAGTGGTTCTCAACCTGTGGGTCTCAACCCCTTTGCAGGGCGGTGGGGGTGGGGAGTTGAACGACCCTTTCACAGGGTCACCTAAGACTATTGGAAAACACAGATACATTACAATTAATAACAGTAGCAAAATTACATTTATGAAGTAGCAATGAAAATAATGTATGGTTGGGGGTCACCCCAACATGAGGAACTGTATTAAAAGGTCATAGCATTGGAAAGGTTGAGAGCCACTGCTCTAAAAGGAGCTTCTTGGTGCCAGGCTTTGCTGTGTTTTTGTAGCTGGAGAAAGGACAGGAATACAGCTGCCCATCCCAGCTCTTTAGTTTCGTAGTGTACAAACTCACAGTGTTTATATGTTATAAACGCCCTCTGCACATACAATTGCACCCATTGCCACCTCTACCCATTGTATATGTATGTGTACACGTATGTGGATTTTATTTGTATATATTACATGTGTACTATGCCTATTCTGCACAGTATGCTTATACTCTGTTTACTTACACGTGATTGTGTAGTATTCATGTTCTCTGTGTATGTGTGTTGTGTGGTATATAGGTACTATATGCTGTGTGCTGTACATGAACACACGTTCTCTACAACCATGTATGTACATTTAAGGGTTAATTAGCTTGCTCAGATCTCTCATGTTCAACATTAGATTCTGAAAGAAGTTTTCCCCTTTCCTCAGAAGATTGAAATTTAAATACTCAACACACTTACTTGACATTTACCTCTTTGGTATCCCTGGGCAGTGTGCTTGCCTCTTCTGGTTTTTGAAGAAGCACCTCATCAGGGTGTTGTTTTACTCAGATATTTTGGTCTCCATCCTTAGAAGATAAGAGTACTTGTAAGATATGATAGCTTTTATCTGTAGTCACAGCAACCCTGGAAGCTACAGAGGACTGCCACAGGTTCAAGGCCAGCCTGGATTGAAGACAGAGACAACAAAACAACAAAAATCAACAGCCAGATGAGAGCTGTTAAAAAGTCAGGAGGATGAGGCAGGATCATGAGTTGTGTGCGTGCGTGCGTGCGTGCGTGCGTGCGTGCGTGCGTGCATGTGTGAGTGCATACATGTGTAGTCCTATTCTTAATTTAGAAAATGAAAAGTGGGGGCTAAAGAGACAGCTTAGCAATTAAGAGTACTTGCTCTTCTTATAGAGGCCTGAGCTTGGTTTCTAGCAACCACATGGGGTCTTACAACCATCTATATTGCCCCCTTCTGGTCTCTGTGGGTACTACATGCACATAGTGCATATACACACATATAGACAAAAGAGTCATACACACAAAGTAAAACTAAATAAATCTTTTTAAAAAAATAAACATGAGCTGGGCGTTGGTGGCGCACGCCTTTAATCCCAGCACTCAGGAGGCAGAGGCAGGTGGATCTCTGTGAGTTCGAGGCCAGCCTGGTCTACAAGAGTTAGTTCTAGGACAGCCTCCAAAGCCACAGAGAAACGCTGTCTCGAAAAGCCAAAAAAAAAAATTATAATAAATATGATTAAAATGCCGAGTCAGTGTTCACATTGCCCTGGACCTGCCATGAGACCTGTCTGTTCTAACCAGGACCTGCAACCACATTCAGAGATGGTGACAGCTCTGACCCTTATCTGTAGGAGTTGCTGAGAAAAACAGGGTTCTGTTGGGGGAGACATGCCTGTCTTTTTGCATTGGGAGGTAGATATGAACAGTCATTCAATAAACCTGTTTTTTAAAAATGAGTTCTCAGTTTATGTGTCTGCATAGGCACAAACTTCTTTGAGCTCAGCAGTTTCCTCTTTGGGGGTCATCCTTTAAACATGAACCCCTGTTCCCTTCTCTTCATGGTCCTATGTTCATGTTTAAGCGTGACCCAGGCACACTGCCAGCTGTGACCAGCATCTTCTGCAGGTCACTAGTCATATGGTCTTCAAGACCTTCTGGGTGTAGTCTTACTCGTATGAGATTTTGAGAAAGCCTTGTGGGTCCTGAGAGCTTGGACAAGAGTGGTTGGCCTCAGGAAGTTGCATCTGAGGGTGCCTTGTGCCTTGTGCCCACCTTTATGACAACATCTGAGGCCTGCGGTTGTGTTTAGGCAGAGTTTTACTTGTTGGTTGTAACAATGGTCATGTGGTCTGAGAGGCACCTTCTGTTTGTGAGCATCAAATCTCTGTCAGCCTTCATCCTAAAGTTGAGGGCCACAGGGGAAGATGTCAAGATGAACACAGCCCAGGCCAAGAATGGGACAGGGCTCCTCAGTGCCTGTCTATGGCAGTACCTAGAGGTCCTGGAGTTGTCATGTTGGCAACACTGAGTACTATGTGTAGAGGTGGATGCTATGTGTAGAGGTCTTAGTCTTTGGACACTGAGATCAGTGGTACTGGAAGGGGGTGGGGGGCTATGACGCCGGACTGGGCCTGAGGGAATGGGCAGGTGGGAGTTCTGTACTGGTCAGGGCGTGCAGCCTAGTTTTACATGAAATGGCCTTTTCAAGGTAAAACACATGTTTTATATTTAGAGAGGAATTCCTGGCTGTACAGTTGAAGCTCAAGCACAAGTAGGAATGAGTTAAATTCTGGGGAAAACAAAAATGCAAGAAATCCTCCTCCATCCAGCTGTGGTTTTGGTTGCAGATGCTATTAAAGCCATTATGTTGAGATGTGTCCTGGTGATTTAAATTGCAGTTGGGGATGCTAATGGGGAGGTGGCCAGGATTACACAGGGTGGGAGTAGGCCGACTGGCTGCGTGGTCTGTGGCCACCAGCTGCCGCGTCACTGCGGCTAGGGGAGAAGGAGCCCAGGAGGCCAGAAGGAAACCAATCCCCTGGTAGATTTGGCAGAGCTCCTCAACTGACAACTGGCATAGTGTACTCCTCCACAGAACTGTGGCTGCCCTTGGTTCAGGGGATCTGCAGAGCCACGCATTGTTGGTGGTAAAGGGTTGACAGATAATAAAACAGGAAATGGAGATCGCTCTCCCAAAAGAAGGCTTGCCGGGTCCATACAGGGCTTCTTCCTGTCCCTGTTTCTGTCCCTGACCTGAGTTGGGAGGTTCTTCTTCCCACTTTCCCTTTTACTGGGAAGCTACCAGTGGAGATCAGAGTGATCAGATCTGGTGGATTGTGGGCAGAAAGACAGCTGGTCCCTAACAGACTGTGGCAGAGAAAGGATACTCCTGTGTGTAAGATCTAGTGTACTGCTCAGAAGGTGTGATGGCTCCTCATGCTGGGCAGCTGAGGTCTGCACAGCATGTTGGTCTTGCAGCTTGATGTTTGTCGTTAGAGTCCCCGATGCTTCCTATACCCCAGCTCCACGTGTACCTGTACCTGCCCAGATACTTAACTGTAGCTTTCTGAAAATAATTTTGTGGTTCTCTATTGGTTATATAACCCACTTCAAGAAATTTGTGGACCAGTGAAATGGCTCAGTGGCTCAAGGCCCTTGCCACCAAGCCTGATGACCTAAGTTCGATCCTTGGGACCTACCTACATGGTGGAAGGAGAAAGGTGGAAGTCTCACGAGTTATTCTATGTCAGATGTGGTAGTGCATGTTTTTAATCCTCAGAAATCAGGAGGCAGAGGCAGGAGAATCTCTGTGAGACTGGGGACAACCTAATCTACACAGGCCAGCCAGGGCTACACAGTGAGACTCTGTCTCAAAACAAAACAAAAACGATAAAGTAGAAACAAACTGTCCTCTGACCACCACATGCAAGTGTGCATACACACACAAAAATTAAATAATTATAATTTTAAATTTTAAAGAAATTCATGTCTGCTATCTCTGCCTTTTCATTCCTTTTGAACAAATATGGAACATGGTTTATCATTTTCAGTGCCCATCACCTCGGCCTGTTTTCTTTGGGGTACCCCAAAGAAAACCTACCTCAGACTCTACTCTCTCTGTGCTGAAGAGGGAAAAAACCAGTCAGCCATTTTGAATGAAACTTGTCTGCATGAGATGGCTATACTCCCCAAGTATCCCTGAGCTAAAACATAGTTTAAGGGTCAGAACATCACCAACTTGACTTCTGCACCCACACTGTCTGCACATTGAGACCATAAGTCTTCTCCGCACAGTGGCATGTTCCATGATGATCCCACACATGTGCTGCAGGTCTCAGCCCCATGGGCAGGGGCCATACACTGTCCTTCCATCGGTCTGTACAGCCAGGCTGCACAGCCTCTAAGGGTAGAGCTCAGGAGGACCCACTTGCCAGCCTGAGTTCAGGGTCCTTCCTTGAACAGTTTGTAGTGAGAGGAGGCTCTGAGTGTTTGGCTTTGGCCACTGCAGGTTTTTGCCTTTTTTAGTGCTCAGATGTCCTCACACTTACTAGAACTTTCCTACCTTCATTGAGAGGTTTATGGGGGATGTTTTTATATAGAGCTTTAGTTCCAGTTCTTTGTAGCACTGAGCTAAACCATGTACCTCAGGCATAGGTTGAGTATCCTTAACACCCAAATTCAAAATTTTTTGAAGACCTGGCACACCTAGAGGCCAGGCATACCTTTCCTCAGTCTCCTCTCCACCTTATCTTTTCAAATAAGTTGTCTAACCTGACACACACACACCCCACCATTTTGACCAGACTGACTGGCCAGTGAGTCCCAGAATCCATCTGTGCTGCACAGTTCTAGGATTTTGCTGACACATCTCAGTGCACAACTTTTATATAGGTGCTGGGATCTGATCTCAGGCCAGGCCCTCGTGCTTGCTTAGCAAGCACCTACCCACTGAGCCATCTTGTCAACCCACAGCTAACATTTTAATATAGAGTGCAATGACAGCAGTCAAATGAGGAAGCAGAGATCTAGAGCAGAGTTTTCCATCCTCTCTGAGGGAGTTGGCCTGCTATCCTCCAGCACATTTGTGTCACCAACCAGGATCTTCATCA